AACAAAAGAAAATAAACACACACACACACACACACACACACACAAACATATATATATATATATATATATATATATATATATATATATAGAGAGAGAGAGAGAGAGAGAGGGGAGAGAGTTGGAGAAAATAAACAGATAAAGACATGTGACTGGGACATATTGAGAGAGCAAGAGACAAGAGTGAGAGGGCGAGAAGGAGATGCAACAGAGAGAGAGAGAGAGAGAGATATTAGAGAAAGAGGAGAAAGAGGAAGGAGAGAGAGAAAGAGAGAGAGAGAGAGCGAGAGACACAACCAGAGGAAAGAGAGAGTGACGAGAAAATGAGCCTCGTTTTGTTAACCAGCCCATTCAATGACATAAAACATTCCCAAACATCGAACCACCACACACACACACACATTCATAAAAACAATTTAATTGATTTTAAATGCAAAAAAACAACCAACGTCTCGCCAAGACGCCGTCCCTCAGCGAACAAACAAAAGTCAAAACATAATAACATAACAATGAACAGATTGATGAGAGAAACTTTTAGTATTACCAATTTACACATACGACCCCCCCCTCCCTATATGTTAAAAAATTAACTCACTACTATTTAGAATTAATAAATTTATAAGACTGAGCAAAGAGTGACACACAATGGAGCTCGAAAGGAAAAGACATCACAATTTAAAGCGCTCTTCGTTCATATCAGTAAAGTACTTCTGGCTCTAAGCATAGCGCTCCTTGGCATCATTAAGATTTTTTGAACACACACACACACACAAACACACACACACACACAAACACACACACACACACACACACACAAACACAAACACACACACACACACACACACAAACACACACACAAACACACACACACACACAAACACACACACACACACACACACACACACACACACACACACACAAACACAAACACACACACAAACACACACACAAACACACACACACACACACACACACACACACACACAAACACACACCTTTGATTGTTGAAGTCTAATTATCTGTTTCTTTTCCTTTTGGTTTTGTCTTGTCTGTTGAAGAAGAAGGCGTCTTGACGAAACATCCATTTAACGTATTTTTCCCGTCAAGCCTTAATACATAGATTAATAGATTGCTTCGCTATTTTAAGTATTATGATGATGATTTTGATGTTAAGCGCAAAGAGAGAGAGAGAGAGAGAGAGAGAGAGAGAGAGAGAGAGAGAGAGAAAGAGAGAGGAAGGAAGTTGTATAAATGTGTCGTCCGGTGAGAATCGATCATCGAGTCGTCTGATGACTGATGACTTTTGTTTAAAGTGAGGAAGAGTTGCGCGGCGTCAACCTCACTCTCTCGTCCAGGCCCACCATATCCAGTGGCAAGACGACCAGGGATGGATACGGTTGCAGGAATTGTCATTGTATGCGCCTTACGGGACTCCAACTCCGGGTTTGAATTCAGAGTTTCCTTCTCTTAGATGAGTTGCCGACCAAGGTTAACGAGTCTCATCCACCCGGGGGTGATGTTTTTGCTTGACTGGCCTTTGGCTGGACTTGAACACCAGACCACCAACTTGTGGTTTGCTCAGTTTAGACCTCTCCGCCACCCTGTGTATATATATATATTGTGAACCTTCAATGTGAATAGAGTATAGTGATAAAGAAATACTCAGCATTGTCTCGGGCTTTCATAGCAATTCGTGTAACTGATACTTAGCGAGTATCCGATCGGTTACTTAATGCAAGAAGTAATGTTACGCACGGTGTTACCCATCGGTTACTGAATGCAAGAAGTAATGTTACGCACGGTGTTACCCATCGGCTACTTAATGCAAGAAGTAATGTTACGCACGGTGTTACCCATCGGTTGCACCTCTGTCACAAGACCCACCATACTGTATGAAATGTCAATCTGCCCCATCAGCTGCAAACACTATACAGAGTGTTCAACATTTCTGTTATCCAATTGATCAAGTATCGAAATCCTGTCTTGTCAAGCCATCCTTATCATCATTAACACCTACATGTATGTCATTACCCACTCTGACAACCATCTTAAATATCTGAATATTGCTTTATCCAAAAATGACCAGATATCTGTGTCGCCATGACCAGCTATTTCATTACCATGGTATTCCTGCTCCATACAGCCCCCCCCCCCCCACAACCCTTTTCCGCTCCTCCAAAATCGAAACCCTAAATTTCCGTTCTTGTCAAAAATCCCTAAAATCATCTTGTCTTGTTGAACCCCCTACCCCCCTCCCACCAACATCACTCTACCC